GACAGATAAAGAATAGATTTAAGTCTTTGATTTTCAGGATTCTGTGAAACTGTCGCGAAATAACAAAGAACCTCGTAGTCTATTAAACAAAATCTTTTCTACCACCAAAAGAGTATATCTATTCAATGGTTTGCTCAATACACACTTCTTTTTAGTACCAAAATTGTGTTGAATAAAAAGTATTTGTTATTTTAGTCTAGCTTTTTTAGAACTATTTCAGTTTGAAGTTAAAAAAAAATTCAATTTTTTTTTTTCAAAACACAAAACGAAAAGCAAACTTAATTTATAATTCTTTCGCAAAAAAGACAAAAAAAAAAATGAAAGAAAAAGAACTAAAAAGATGTATTTTGACGTAAACAGCAGAAAAAAAAAATGTAATTTTGTTTAGTTTTTTTTTATTGGTTTTTACTTGATGTTAAAATAGTATTTTTTTTTCTAAAAATATTTATTTTTCTAAAGTTTTTTTTTTTAAAAATTGTAAATTTTATAAATTATTAAGTTTTTACATAAATGAACACAATGCTCAATAATACAGAAAGTTCCTGAAATTCATAGTCTGTTAAATGCTTTTCTAAACTTATCTCAAAAGCTTTTAAACAGTGTGTTTTTATAGAAATCTCTTCAACCAAAATAATTTTATGACTTATACTAACTATTGAAGTATTGCAGCTGTAAAATCTCAGTTGTCTTTAGTGTATGTATGAAGAAGCTGATACAGTTGTTTCCACAGCGCAAGATATCACAGTAAATTTATAAAAACAATTCCACAATATAAGATAAAAAAAAATTATTTAAAAGTGCTATATAAAATTGTATAAGTGTTAAAAAAATTTTTACCTGTTAAAGTAAAGGTAATTAGTTACCGAAAAGAGGTATATGGTCAAATAAGCCGAACAATAACCGTTCATGTGCTAATAGATAGCCCACACTATTGCACCTTTAAGACATCAGAAAAAAAAAAATTTCTGCAAAATATTTGATACCAGCGATGTTAACATACAAAAAAAATAGATAAGTTTTATTCGCCAACAATATTTTGGAGCAAAAATTAAATACGGTAATCAAATGACATTCAATATACTATAAAATAATTAATCTTTGTTCACATCAAATTGTCAAAATGTACTAAAGCAGTAAAAAAAACTTTAATCAAAAACTGCTTTCATAATTCTAACCGACAGTAAAGTCTTTACTTGGAAGTTATTTATATATTACACAATTATAATACACTATGCAGAAAAAACCTCCCCTAAAACAAAGAAAGAAATAAGTGAATAAATAAATGTATAAAAATACCAATGTTTTAGGAAAACTGTTGTAAATTGGTAATACGCAAATCACCTTCGATCAAGTTATAAATCTGTAATAACAAAACTTCTTTGCTTATGTTCACAAATGCACACATATATACATATATAAAATATAAAAATAAAAAAAGGAAATTTTTTTTTTTTTTTTTGCTTTGATTTGCTTTATTATAGATAAAGAAATGAAGAAAAATGAAATAAGGAGAAAAAGAAGTGGAAGAAAAAGCAGAAAAAAAAATTGTCATGCAAATAAGTAAATAAAATAGATAAATAAATGAATAAGTAACATTCATATTCATATTATTGAAGTTATGATTGTTATTGACCAAACAGAAGAAGAGAAACCAAAAAGAACAAAAAGAACAAAAAAGAAGAAAAAAAAAAAGAAAAGAAAGAAAAGAAAGAATTTTTTCTCCTCTTAAGATACTTGAAAAACATAACACATATAACATATATGACGAGGGCATTTTTTTTTTTGATGATGATGAAAATGCCGAAACAGATCGATGAAGCTTAAAACGACCATGAAGATGGAGAAGATGATGGCGAAGATGAACAAGAAGAAGAAGAAGACGACAATGATGGAGAATACGAATACGAATAGAAAAAAAAAATAAAAATAAAAAAAAAGATAGAAGAAAAAAAAAAAACAAGAAGGAAAAAGCACATTTTTGAATTGTTTCTGCATAAATTCATTTCAAAAATTATCACTATTATTATTCTTCTTATCTTTTTTTTTTTGGTGTTATTATTATTACCATTATTTGTGTTGTCATTACCACTATTAACATTTTATTTATTGTTTTTTACTATTTATACTGTTTGAATTCGGTATTATTTAACCATATTCAGCCATTTTGCTGTGATTATCAAACTGATGTTATTATTAATATTATAATTATTATTACCGCTATTGTTGCTGTTGTGGTATTATTTTAATTTTTTCTTCTCTCTTCTCTTCTTCTTCTTCTTCTTCTTTTTATTATTATTATTA